TGTAGCCATCAAACAGAAGCGGAATAAACTATGAATGAATTATTAGGGTTAAATGTCTGCTAGCAATTTTCCATACAGTGCAGTATTTTCCAGAATTGCTGAGGCCACTGAAGTTTAATTTTGTTTCGTTGGCTTTCTTAAAAATTGCCAAAAACTAAAATGTAAGGAATTAAAAAGAATATTAAAGAACAAGGAAGGTGTATTTTATGTTATCTTATCTGCATTTTCCTTGCTATAACATATGAGAAGGAAGTTTCTTATAAATAAGGAAATAAATTTTAAACTATTTTGAAAATATGAACAAGGAAAATCGAAAAATTTTAGAAAGATTTTCCTATGAAAATTTCAGACTGTTACAACTTGCAATAGTTTTAAAAGGATATTAATTATGTATCCTGTTATTTAATATTTAATGGAGACAGAAATATTGTTTAATATGAACATTGTGACACCATATTTGTCAATTTTATGAAAACCACACTTTTATATAAATCGTTAAAATGATAAATGTAGTATTATTGCGAAGTTTCAAATTTACATTATTTAAACATAAGGTATGAATTACTATGTAATACTGATCCAGAAAATAAACACCTGTCACTTTCACACAATGTAATTGTAAAGTTTAATAACCTGTTATTATGTATAAAACCAGCTATAACTTATTTTTTACTAATATGAACTTTTTTTATTATTCACCATGCTAACCAAATTTGTGTCTTGAATTGATCAACCCATGATGTTGTGGTTTAATATTTTTGTAGTTTGGCCAGGGAAACAAAATGTCAAAAATGTCAATGCTTTGAAAAATTCCAATGTTCAATACAGATAGGAAATGACAACTTTCTAATGAGTTATGGAACTTTGGGATTGATATGCGAACAAATTTCACTGAATGATAGATTGATTGATGCTTGCTTAACAGGTATTGGCTGAATTTCACTAAGAAATGCAATTCTTTGCCATTTGTGAAACATCCTAAAATTTTTAAACTTACAACAAACAGGTGCAAAACTTGAACTTTACATTTATTTTTAGGCCAAAGTGCCAATTAAGTGAGCTTTTCTCATCACTTGTTGTCCGTCGTTGTCATCTGTTAACTTTTACAAAAATCTTCTCCTCTGAAACTACTACACCAAATTTAAGCAAACTTGGCCACAATCATCATTGGGATATCTGATGACCCTGCTTGCCAACCAAGATGGCCGACATAGCTAAAAATAGAATATAGGGGAAAAATCAAGTTTTGTCTATTATTTTGAAAACAGTTATAGAAAGAGAAAATCTGACAGTGCCAGAAATGTTTAGAATGTTGAGCTCTATCAATTGTTCATAAACGTCAAAACTGTCAGACGACTTCTTATAGGAGCTATTGTCCTTAAATGACAAATTTTACCATTTTTTTTCATTTTTGCCTATATGCATGAAAACTATAATAGATAGAGAGAAACTTTAAAATGCAAAAATGATCAGCAAGACAAGATCTACAAATAAGTTTTTGGATGGTCGAGTTATTGCCCTTTGATGACGATTTTTACCAATTTTTTGTGTTTTTATACGACTGCAAAAAAATTTTGAGGTCGTATATTGGTATGATGTTGGCGTCGTCGTCGTCCGAAGACACATTAGTTTTCGCACTCTAACTTTAGTTTAAGTGAATGGATCTCTTTGAAATTTTACCATAAGGTTCAATACCACAAAAGGAAGGTTAGAATTGATTTTGGGGGTTATGGTACCAACAGTTAAGGAATTAGGGACCAAAAAGGGGCCAAAAATAAGCATTTTTGTAACTTCCAGACATAACTTGTGTGTTAAGTGTATGGATCTCTCTGACATTGTACCACAAGGTTCCATATCACAAAGGGAATGCTGGGATTGATTTTGGGGGTAAATGCCTCCAAATTTTAGGAATTAGGGGCCAAAAAAGGGGCAAAACACAAGCATTTTTCTAGTTTCATGACAATAACTTGTGTGTAAGTGTATGGATCTTTATGAAATTGTACTACAAGGTTCCATATCACAAAGGGAAAACTGGAATTGAGTTTGCGGGTAATTGCCCAAAACGTTTAGGAATAAGGGGCCAAAAAGGGGCCAAAAATAAGCATTATTTCTAGTTTCCAGACAATAACTTGTGTTCAAGTGTATGGATCTCTCTGAAATTGTACTGCGAGGTACCATACCACAAAGGGAAGGCTAGGATTGATTTTGGGGGTAATTGCCTCAAAATTTTAGGAATTAGGGGCCTAAAAGGGGAAAAAAACATGCATTTTTCTAGTTTCCATACAATAACTTGTGTTCAAGTGTATGGATCTCTCTGAAATTGTACTGCAAGGTACCATACCACAAAGGGAAGGCTGGGATTGATTTTGGGGGTAATTGCCTCAAAATTTTAGGAATTTGGGGCCAAAAAACAAGCATTTTTCTAGTTTCCAGACAATAATTTGTGTTCCAGTGTATGGATCTCTCTGAAATTGTACTGCAAGGTACCATACCACAAAGGGAAGGCTGGGATTGAGTTTGGGGGTGATGAATCATAAGGGGGTTCAAAAAATTTGGGGGGGGGGGATTTTTTTTTCCTTTTTTTTCTTTAAAATTTTCCATTTTGAATTGGTTATTTCTGATTTATATATAAAAGCAAATAATAATGATATGGTTTGAATAGGTAAATTAAAAATTTTTAAGTTCTTAGACCACATTCATTCTGCGTCAGAAACCTATGCTGTGTCAAATATTAAATTATAATCCAAATTCAGTGCTGTATCAAGCTTGAATGTTGTGTCCATACTTGCCCCAACTGTTCAGGGTTCGATCTCTGCGGTTGTATCAAGCTGCGCCCAGCCGAGCATTTTATTGCCTTATACCTTAAAAATTATAATAGATAGATAGAAACTTAAAAAAGCAAATATAATCAACAAGACAAGATCTACAATAAAGACAATATGGAGGAAATCGTCTGACATCTCCCTATTGGAGTTAATTGCCCTTTAATTATGATTTTTACCATTTTTTTGCGTTTTGCATTAAATGATCAAAATTATAAAAGATATATAGATAAATAGACACTTTAAATCACTAAAATGATCAGCAAGGCAAGATTACTAACAAGTCAAATTTTGCCGATATAGTTTGTATACTGTCAATTTATATAGGAGTGATTGCCCTTATATGTGGATTTTTTTTACCCTCTTTTGTGTTTTGATCAAAAACTAAAGAAGATGGAGAGAAACTAAACAGACTAAATGATCAGTAATACAAGATCAACAAAACAGAGATTTTTGTCATGAAGTCTATTCTCATCTACAATGTTGTAGAGTGTCCTTTTTTGAATATGCACATAGACCAAGGTGAGTGTCCTTTTTTGAATATGCACATAGACCAAGGTGAGTGTCCTTTTTTGAATATGCACATAGACCAAGGTGAGCGACACAGGTCTTTAGAGCCTCTTGTTTGCAATGTCATTATTAGTTTGCAATCATTCAGCAGACTTTTTCTTTCTTAGCTCATGAATTTTGTAGTTTTATGTCATAAGCACACAATTTGATGATGTCACAATATTAAGGATTATTGATATTTGTCTGGGAAATGCTTCAAATGCATACAATTTTTCATTTTCTTTTCAAATATGTATATATATATATACTCTTTCTTAGATGGTTCATTAATTTTAAATTTGATTTTCACACAAAATCATTGTTAAACTAATTTGGATACATAATAATGTATTATTTCTCAGATTCTTAATCTGAGTGATACTGGGTTATTTAGGATATAGTTGCTATGTATAAACCTTCCAATTAATTAACCTCAAAATTCTTGAATCAATTTTTATGACAAGAATTTTAAAGTTGGGAGAAATATTACAAAAAATGTCTAAATGAAAATGTGTCATAGTCAGAGGGGCGATGTAAGAGTAAAATACTTGAAATGTGAGTACATATTATATTCCTATCATTGATTCAAATCAGGGGGTGATGTAACAGTAAAATAATTCAAATGTGAGGACATATCCCAACCATTGATTCAAATCAGAGAGGTGATCTAAGAGTAAAATAATTCAAATGTGAGGACATATCCCAACCATTGATTAAAATCAGAGAGGTGATCTAAGAGTAAAATAATTCAAATGTGAGGACATATCCCAACCATTGATTAAAATCAGAGAGGTGATCTAAGAGTAAAATAATTCAAATGTGAGGACATATCCCAATCATTGATTAATAGGCAGGGGGATGATGTAAGAGAACAGTGACTTAAGTATTTTCAGATTAATGTAAACCTGATGTCTTATTATTGTTATGTAATTTACCTGTCAAAGCTGGTGTAAAATTAATGAACCAGATGGTTAACTTCATCTTAAAAGATGATGTTGTTATCATCATTTGTGTAGAAGTAAGGACTGTCTTCACAAAATAAAAACTCAGGATTATAGATAAGTATTGCAGATTTGTAAGTTAGATTATATATTTAGATAGATTTTAGTAGCCACAATGATACTAGGCATGACATCACTTATTCTCTATGACAGATATACTGGGTGTAGTTCCTGAGAACCTCTGTACAAGATTTTAACATCTTTGTTTTATGTTTTGTTTTTCCATTCCTTCATGAAGCATAAATGCATATTGACTTAGGCTCTACGATGAGATCATGTGTCCTCCTTTTCTTGTTGATAACATCACCAAATGTTTCTTTAATGTTCATTGATTTTTATTTTCCATGAGCAAAATAATGAATGCCACAAGGTAGCTGAGAAACTTCTTACCAATTTTGAAGCCTGAGTCACCATTGTTTTTGATGGGTGCATGTTTTATTGTTTAAATATCATTTAGTTTTCTAAACCAGTTTGAAATTTTTAGCGGATTTCTATATTACAGTACAAGTTAGAATTACTACTAAGTAACCACATGAGGTCAAAGGGGAAATATTTCATATAATAGTTAAACTTAAGGAAATAGCAAATTAATCGTAAAGTTAATTAAATATTGTTTTGTACTCTGCAGATACAGATCATGGAACAACAGTTAGCAGCCATTAACATGCAGCCAGATGAGTTGGAGGATAGAATACATATCTTGGAAAAACAGTGTGTAGAAAAAGAGGAGAAAATTAGATCTTTACAACAATATCTGGAAGAACAGGTATTATATTTAAGCACCTTTTTATACCTTATTCAGTATTCATAATTTTTTGTAAGTTGTGGATCAAGAAATTTTTATGGTTCTAGAGGGTTACAATAAAAAAAGCTGAAAACCGAGGAGTGCAGCACTTTGTCCTTGTCCTGGCCCTTAAATAAAGTAAGGATTATTGCACTAATATTCCTCAATATAAGTGCATTAACTCCTTTATGATTTAATACCAAATATTTAAGCACCATTGATGATAACTCTTACAATTCCTACAGCTCTAGGGACTGCGGGAATGAAGCAATATTCATTTCCGCCATCTTTTTACCTCTCTTCTGCAGGCAAATATTGTTTTACTCTGAACCTCTCTAGTGCCTACCAAACTTTAAGGAATAGAACGCAAATCAGTGATCAAGGTTAAGTTTACAAGGGTCAAGTCTGTTTCACAGATACTATAAGCAATAGGTCAACTATATTTAGTGTATGGAATGATTGTAATGTGTATATGTCTGACTGGCAGTTTTCATCTGACCTTGAACTCATTTTAAGGGTTTATTAGTCTAACTTATTTTTTTCTGATTTGGTCTATTTATTAGATATTATAAGAATAGGTCAACTATATTTGGTGTGTGGAATGATTGTAACGTGTATATGTCCGTATGTCATCATATGGTAAATGTTCATGGTTTTGTCTGTTTATCAAATATTATAAGCAATAAGTCAACTATATTTGGTGCATGGAATGATTGTAAGGAGTACATATCTGTCTTGCAGGGTTTATCTGACCTTGACCTCATTTTTCATGGTTCATCAGTAAAGTTTTCATGGTTATGTTTTTTTAGATAATGTAAGCAATAGGTCAACTATATTTGTTGTATGGAGTGTTTGAATGGTGTCTGGCCTGGTTCATCTGACCTTGACTTCATTTTCATGGTTCCATGGTCAATGTTAGACTTTCATAATTAGGTCTGTTTCTCTGATACCATAAGCGATAGGTTAACTATATTTGGTGTATGGTATGATCGTAAGGTGTACATAAGGTCGTCTGCAGGTTTCATCTAACCTTGACTTCATTTACATTGATCATTGATAATGTTAATTTTATTTGTACTTATAGTAAAACCTTCATATTACACAATTTCAACATAAATTCAATCATGATAAGTAAAGCAGGTGAGACATTTCAGCATTTCACTCTTGGTTTTATTTTAGAAACAACAAAGACAACATGATGCTAAGATGGTGGAAGAAAAAGCTGGTAAAATAAAGGAGTGGGTCACCTCTAAGTTACAACAGGTAAAAATACTGTCAAAATAAATGAGTGGGTTAGCTCTTTATATCAACAGCTAAAAGAATCAGCTAAATGAATGAAATTGTAAGCACTAGATTTTCACAGATAAAAACACTTAACATGATAGAAAAATCAACCAAATCTTTACACTCTGGACTGAATCATAACTGGTGTAAATTGAAAAACAAGTTTAATATAGAAATGGTTCAGCAGTGAAAAAGGTGAAAAAGCTAAAGATGACTATGTGAGCACAAAATTCAAACTTGGACATTATGTAACTGTGTAACTTTGTTCATATTATTTTGCAAAAGAAGATAACAAAAATACCGAACTCCAGGGAAAATTTAAAACGGAAAGTCCCTAAATGGCAAAATCAAAAGCTCATGGACATCAACCGAATGGAATACAACTTCATATTCCCCACTTGGCATTTCCTTATGTAGAAAATGGTGGATTAAACGTGGTTTTATTTCAAGTGGGCAATAAAAAATCAGGAGGATCAGTAGTTTCTGCTCCACTAGTAACTCTTGCACATCAAAAGTTATATGATGAATTCAAAGTTTATGGAACGATTCCTAGTCAAGTTTCAAAATAAATTGTTTCCCTGTATGTTTTTGTTCCCTGTATTTTCTGGTTCCATGAAAGATCTTGTTCCCTGTATGTTCTGGTTTCCTGAATATTCTTATTCCTTGTATGTTCTTGTTCCCTGTATTTTGTTTTTTGTACCGTCTTTTGGTGTGTATAAAACGCACTCATGCATAGTATGCAACCCCCTTTTTCGCCCGTCAAACTTGAGAAAAAAGTTTCTTCTTATGCCTAACACGCAACGACTTTCTGGAAAAATCCCAACTTAAAACTCAGTGAAATGCGTCCATTAAAAAGTGATTTCTTTTTCTGAGACAATTGAACTCCAGTCCTGGTTGATTACAGGATAATGAAAATATTGTTGCAGAATAAATAATTTAGCTAACGATGTTTGATTCTTTATTGTTTCCACGGATGTGTTTGATTGAGAACAACAGGAAGTTGTTTAAATGCAAATCGTAGTCTGTGAATCTTGTACCGAATACAGAATCATTACGAATATTCTTAATTACACAATAAGTAAACAAATTGTAATAATTATGTTGATAAATTAGATCTGAAATAAATATTAATCTCTGCTAATTTTATTTATTGTTAGTTCGTACTCATTGCATCGTTTAATCCGGATTATCAAACGCTTATTGAATATCAATCAGGAAGTCTTATCGTTGTCAAAACAAATCAATTGACAGATTAATTTTGTTCCTTAATCAAATTCGTACAGTTTACAAGATGGCATTGACATGTCTGCAATATTGATTTGTATGAAGGTTTTTAAAAAAAGTTTCAAAGTATTATCGTGTTTAAAATCATCACTTTATTCAACTTTGTAACCGTTAAAAGTCACATGACATGTGATCACCTGATACTTCGATAGTAAAAAACTATGGCGATTGCTATCATCAAACGAGCATGTTTCATTCAATTTTCATACATTTACCTTCTGCATTCCTTGTTAGAACACATATACAAAGTAAGTAATAAACTCAGGAACATCTAAACTAATTTGGCCATTGACAGAATCCTACATCTCTAATTTAGACATGATCAAATGCAACTTCAGGGCGGAAACGGAGAACACAAGAAAATGCAAAAAAAAACGACTAAAGCATTTAAATGATTTTTATTAGCATATAACATTACAAATCAGATACAAGAAGGTACAAAAGAGAGGCGAAAGATACCAAAGGGAACGGTACAAATATACATGTAAAACATAACAACAATCACGTTTATGCTACAAATATATTTTCCTCCATACCACCTGATTTTTGGTCAGAATTCGGCCTGAAAAAGTCTAAAGAACAGTGAAGCCATACATAATATGCAACCCCCTTTTCAGAAATTCATTCCCAGGGTAAAATCCCGCATACTATACACACCTGAAGACAGTATGTTGTTCCCTGAATGTTCTTGTTCCCTGTATGTTCTTGTTCCCTGTATGTTCTTGTTCCCTGTATGTTCTTGTTCCCTGTATGCTCTTGTTCCCTGTATGTTCTTGTTCCCTGTATGCTCTTGTTCCCTGTATATAGTTCCTGGTATGTTCTTGTTCCCTGTATGCTCTTGTTCCCTGTATATAGTTCCTGGTATGTTCTTGTTCCCTGTATGCTCTTGTTCCCTGTATATAGTTCCTGGTATGTTCTTGTTCCCTGTATGCTCTTGTTCCCTGTATATAGTTCCTGGTATGTTCTTGTTCCCTGTATGCTCTTGTTCCCTGTATATAGTTCCTGGTATGTTCTTGTTCCCTGTATATAGTTCCTGGTATGTTCTTGTTCCCTGTATATAGTTCCTCGTATATTCTTGTTCCCTGTATGATCTTGTTCCCTGTATGCTCTTGTTCCCTGTATATAGTTCCTCGTATGTTCTTGTTCCCTGTATGCTCTTGTTCCCTGTATATAGTTCCTGGTATATTTCTTGTTCCATGTATGATCTTGTTCCCTGTATGCTCTTGTTCCCTGTATATAGTTCCTCGTATATTCTTGTTCCCTGTATATAGTTCCTGGTATGTTCTTGTTCTCTGTATGCTCTTGTTCCCTGTATATAGTTCCTGGTATGTTCTTGTTCCCTGTATGCTCTTGTTCCCTGTATATAGTTCCTCGCGTATGTTCTTGTTCCCTGTATGATCTTGTTCCCTGTATATAGTTCCTGGTATGTTCTTGTTCCCTGTATGATCTTGTTCCCTGTATATAGTTCCTGGTATGTTCTTGTTCCCTGTATGATCTTGTTCCCTGTATATAGTTCCTCGTATGTTCTTGTTCCCTGTATGTTCTTGTTCCCTGTATATAGTTCCTCGTATGTTCTTGTTCCCTGTATATAGTTCCTCGTATGTTCTTGTTCCCTGTATATAGTTCCTCGTATGTTCTTGTTCCCTCTACTTTGTTCCCTGTATGTTCTTGTTCCTGAAAGTTCTTGTTCCTGAAAGTTCTTGTTCCCTGTATGTTCTTGTTCCAACAAATTCTTGTTCCCTGTTTGTTCTGATTCCCTGAATGTTCTGATTCCCTGTATGTTCTGGTTCCCTGAATGTTCTTGTTCCCTGTATGTTCTTCCCTGAGTATTACTATAAATTGGCAACCAACAGATTTGCTCACTTCAAAAGCAGATTTTTCAGACAAGAAATTTATTTTGCTTTATATTATAACGGTGTATGTAAATTGGTACTGTATATGTGTATTTACTATGTAATTCTGTGGTTAATGTTATATATTATCTATTGCTTGCCTCTTAGCTGCAATGTCTGATGCATCTATGTATATCTACTTTATAATTCTGCGGTTGAAGTATATAATCTTTTGTTTGCCTCTTATGTAGCTACAGTGTTTGATGTAAGGCATTATACCTCTATGTTTTCAAAGTCAAATTGTTATGTAAAATAAATGACATTTGTTGAAGTACATAATCTTTTGCTTGCCTCTTATGTAGCTGCAGTGTTTAATGTAAGTCATTAAACCTCTATGGTCTCAAAATCAAATTGTTATGTAAAATAAATGACATTTATTGAAGTATATAATCTTTTGCTTGCCTCTTATGTAGCTGCAGTGTTTGATGTAAGGCTTTACACCTCTACATTTTCAAAGTCAAAATGTTATGTAAAATAAATGACATTTGTTGAAGTACACACTACCCTTTCTCGGCAGAATGCATTTGAAAGACTAAATAATTCATGCTGATATTATGCAATATTGACAGAGATGTCATCAAATTAAATATAGTTATCTGATTTGTTTCCTTTTGTTCTTTCATAAAACATAAAGTGGATTTAAAGCTCAAATGGAAATGCAGTACTTTAAATGTCAAACACGTATTTATAACATCTTTGACATTCTTATAACTGGATTTACCATAATATTGATAGAAGCAATTCACAAATGTTAATTGTGACAGGAAGTAGAAGTTTTGGGAATTTTTAAATGCAAAAGATGAAATGATGACACAAATTAAACTTGAATTCAAAATTTTTGGATCTTCAAATATTGTCAAAATGCACATCTTGTGCAGTAAAATTGGTACCTCTAATGTTGTTATGTGTATTAAGAACCTTACCTGGATTTTAACCATATCTTTGTTATACCCTAACTCATACAACTGTTAACAAATTTTCTTGTAATTTGTCTATTGAATTTGATATCTTCATTTACATATTTAAACATGTGTGAGGTTTTGAAATCACTATTGCTAAATTAAAACACTTTTGCCAAACTAAATCACTTTTGCCAAACTAAATCACTATTGCCAAACTAATTTATATGATTCATTTGCCTGAGTTCTCATCAAAGATACCAGGCTTATATTCGGTTCTTCTGACTTCTGTGTTGTTTTGTCCAGGCCATTTTTGTTTCAATACCACCAGTCTGTTTATGGTAGCTTTTGTTGCTGCTGGATAGCCCTGTTTTCTCATCAAGACGTCTTCTAATTTAAACAAAGGTTAATTGCAAAAAATCATTGGTTAAGATTGGCTTATAGAAAAAGCAGAAATCTTTTTAAGGATAAAATCATCACATAGTTATTCTTGTCTTCTTATTTGGGATTGAAAGATTTGCTTGGATGTGTTCAGTATCAGCTAAATCAAAAATAGAATAATGTTGTTTAAAATAGAGTTCAAAGGTCACATGTTAGCAGACCTAAAAAAGTGTTTTGCAGATTTCAAATCGTGTATTAATATTAGAAAATATTTAATTACAATATTTTTATTTCCATTTACTTTGAGCTGTGCAAATATTATCAATTTTCATAATAGCCATGAATGACATCAATAAGGTTCATTCTTGGTAATGATGTCATGTAATTTTAAGCATTATCCAATTAGAATTGATCTTGCAAACAAATCTCATTAGAATTTAAATCCAATTGACAATTTGTATTTTCAGATAGAAACAAAGAATCAAGAATTACAACAAGAAAATGAATCTCTTCAAGATCAGGTTGAAATTTTACGTGAACGTCTCCAAGCTTTGCCAGCCTTTGCTGCTAAAGAGATTTACCGATTAAGTCAACAGGTAATTTTTCTTCCAAGATTTGAAGATAATTAATATATCTTAAGTATATAACTAAAGAAATTCAACTGTAAATTTGCTGGAGATTTTTGGTTATAAATAAGATTGAAAAATGAGCATGTCAGCCAAACTTGTAGTTTTGACCTCTTTTACATGCTCTAGTGGTCAGGTTAAAATTTCAGTATTATTTTTGAGCATAATAAGTATAATTCTCAAGTAAATTTCTATTAATAGTAAGTTAAGGTGCAGTTAATACTGTGTTTTCTTTGATAATTTTTGTTTCAAAATGGTAGAAAAGAATGAGACACAATTTTACTGATCAGCAATAGTAATGACATCTGCAATGTTCTATTTTTATGTACATGGTCGAATAAAAAGCAGTCAGATTTAAAAAAAATTCTAGTCCTAGACTTCTGACCAATGGATTTGAAAGAAATTTTTACACATCTTTTATTCATTTGAGTGATGTAAATTATTAAGAAATTACTCTCATTATAATAATATGTAATAACAGATGAAAAATGCATAAAATCTACACCATACAATTATGTAGAAATTTTAATATCATTTGGAGTAGTTTACTGTTAGGCACTTGAATGGTGCATTTGTTTTTCCATAAAACATCTTCTCTCAAGTAATTTATTCTTGATGTTGAGATCAGTAATATTTTAATTAAACTGTTCTTTTTGTAATAGTGAGGTTGAAAGCAGGTAACATTTATTTCACTCTTAAGCTGAATGCACTTACATTTTATTTTTATTTAATTATTGAATTTTTTTGCAACTGTACTATAAATATGTCTGATTTATGTAATGTACCACATCATTTTTTTTAGTAAATTCAATTGCAATCCAAAGATAATAATAAAAAAAACATATAAAATGTTGTTTTTCTTGTTTCACATTTTGTCATGCTGGCACCTTTTATAACCTTACTATACAGTACATGTATGTGTTATGCTCATTGTTGAAGACCTTTAGTTGTGTACATCCTCATCCTTTGGTCTCTAGTAAATAGTTGTCTTATTGGTATAAATCATACCACTTTTTATTTTTATATGATATATATAACCTAGTTTATCTTTTTTAGAGTTCTGTATCTAGAGCCTCATCTTATATAGAGGAAGAGTCGTCATTTTGTGCTGATTCTAGACCTAATTCTGTGTTCACAGACATCTCTCATCTAGTAGAAAATGCCGTATCAAGGTCCAGTTCTCGACCTCAGTCTGAAACATTTAGCCCTATTGACCTAACAGATACTAAAGGTAGACCTGTATCAGAAGGGGGTTGGTCTGAACCTAGGTCTGAAGTTATCCAACTACGACCTTTGTCACGGACCAGACCTTCTTCAGATTATGCTGAGTCAAGGTCAAGGTCAGATGTCAGTTCAAGTTCTCAGGACATGTCAGAAGATTCAATTCCACCAGCTATTCCTAAACGTCCTTCCCCATCAGTATTACAAGCCATTGAACACGAGTTGGAAGATAAAAGAGAAAACAGTATCAGCCCTCCGTCAGATACGAAAAGCTCGGCCAGTATGAAAAGTGACAAAGATGCAGCATTGGACAGCAACAGCGATGATAGTATGCCTGATATAGAAACAATTCCACTTTATCATGAAGTGGATCAGAATCATGAAAGTACATACGAACTGAAAAAATGTCTACCTCCTCAAGTGGTGATTGGACGAAAAGTGTTCAGCGGTGAAAATAGACTTCTTGATTCTCTTGTTAGTTCTAGTAATGATGATGATGATAAAAATGACGGGAAAAATAATAATAGTTTTTTGTTAAATAATGGAGAGGATAATGACTTTGTTGATGAGGAGGATATTATCATTGAAGATATAATTATAAAAACTGAGAGTTCTCCAGCTGTGACCTTGACCCCTATGTCACCAAGGACACCAATTTCACCATTCTTTCCAAGCACACCATCAGAATCTCCAAGTAGTGTATATAATCATAGTTCAAATAATGTGTCAGCCATTGCAACACTACCTCGTGTGAAAAAGCGACATGATAAATCCACGCCATTGCAATTGATGTATAGTGCTGGAGGGGTTCCAGAGGGGATAGTATCACATGACAAACCACCTCCTGTCTTGGAGCCGCATATAGTCACTGGAAAAACCTCTTCATTTTGGGTATGTATTTAAAATTTCTTTTTTGGTGCAATTAATATTTAAAATTTTTATCATTTCTAATTTGCTCTACACAGCAAATAAATGTGAGGCACAGTTTTCTTTGGTTTTTAGAGCACAAAAAACAACTGAAAGTAAAAAGGTCATCATTTGACTGAAATAAAATTATGAATAAAATTTATTTGATTAAGTATTAAATAATTTTCTTGCAAGTAGTCTGAAAGATGGAATAAAACTTCAGATATTGATACTAAACTTCATCAGGTCAAGCTCAGGCAAAGACACAAAGGCAAGCTGTTTGACCGGAACATAATTGATTTTTGTCTCGCCCTGTTCCAGTAACTTACAATTAATTACCAATTTTTAATGTTAAGTTTTCTGCTTAAGTTACTTTGATAAGAACTACTTATGACTATGATAGACAATGATATTTTCTATAAAGTTAGTATGCATTACTATCAGTAGGTCTCAGTTTGACGTGCACGTGCTGCACTCTATGTCATGGTCCATCAACTTTGAATTAATTGGCAATGTTGCTGTCCATCAGGTTGTCTTTATTTGATTTTTCTGCTGACAAGCAAGACATATATATATCTGTGTCATAAGATTATTACCTACTTAAAGGACACTACAACTTAGGGGGATATTGATGTTTTTACCCCTACCCACACCCATAGCCAGGGGGTAGAGGGGTCAGACTACACCCCCCCCTGAAAACAAAATTCTATTGAAGACTGTTAAATTGGAATCTAGATTGAATTTTTGACTGAGAATAGTCAAATAAACCCCCTCAGAGACATTCTAGCTAAAGGCCTGCCACCATGGACAGCCCTCTCTTACCAACTCAAATATAACCTCAGATTTTTTTTGAAATATTGAACATATTTTCTTGCATATTGCAAGTGCAAGTCATGATACAAGTGATAGACACATGTTTCAACAAACATTGTGTAATCCTATAAAGTGTTTTTCTCACAATAGAATAAAGGTGTTCCATGATGATCACCAATTATAAACACATGTATGAATATCAGAGGTTAACAGATAAATATAATTTTGACAAATATGATCCTTTGAAGTCTAACTTGATGGAGTATGCTAATTGCATTATAATGTATAGAGTCTTTTAGAATTGAAAGGTGTTATTAATTTTTCAGTAAGCTATGATATAAATCTTCTGATTCCGCTTTAATTTCTTAGATTAGATTCTCTTTACAAGAAGGCTATTGTAATTTCTGCACTATTCATTTGTCTCCACCCTTCTTAAAGACTTTTATGTAGTGCCAAAGACATAATGATTACAAACTTTTACAATGAATCACTGTCAGATATTAGGATTCAAATGCAAAATTTAAATTTTGAACTAAATTTTGGATAAGAAAAAGTTTGGTTTTGCTTTGAAATTGTGTAAAACATGTAAGAATGTATAAGGTTTAACCTAGACGAAGAAATGTGCATGAATCACATGAAACATCACCTTATCATTTATACCGCTGTTTTTTTTAATTGTTGGTCTACCAATCAACTAAGTTGAATTGTTTTACATTCAATGAGAAGGAAACTAAACAAATTTTTGATGCTTCTTTATATTTGTTCTTGACCTTGAGAAAATATGTTAAACAAAAAATATAGGTGAATTGACCTTGACCTCAGTTTAATGGTTCAATTGTCAACATTAAATTTATTTGATTAGGTCAATTTTCTTATTGGTTAAAGTTTATGGGGAATAATATAAATTTGGTTTTAAAAAAATGGTTGCCATGTATCCATTTTGAAGAAATTACTTGACCTTGACATCATTTTCAGGGTTCATTGAGCAACATTAAGTTTTAATGGTATATGAAGTAAGATTTTGATCTCATAGACTTTCAAAATATAATTAAGTATAATCAGTTAAGTAGGAGGGTGGGACATTTCAACATATCAGCTCTTATCTATCATGTCTATTAAAGTTATAAATTATATAATGAAACCATTTGAAATTTCCATATGCTGAATTTGTGTATAGTTTATTGTCAAAACAAATGGTTAACAGCAGATATATATCTTGTTTTTTTGTACTTCAGGATAGCAGAACTTATGCCATACCTAAGAAAGTAAAAGACACTAGTCAACAGCATACCTGTAAGTTAACATGTCTGCAAATTTGGCTACCCTTGTTAGTAGCTACAGATAAAAATTCAAAAGAAAGGAACAAATACATTCAATGTAGGGTCATTTATTTCATTTACAAATTAACAGTAACAAATATATCAAGGATAAATTTGTTCATCTTTAAAAATTTTAAAGGAAAAATGATTTTTTTTTCCAACAAAAATGTTTCACTTTCAATTCAATAGATCTCATACGGAAAATTATTTTGTGTTTGGTGTTAAATAACCTACCCTAGTGCATTTTGGGGATTTATTATTATATTATGTATATTTTATCTTATCAGTTTTAGCAAGCAAATCACACTATGTCTATGGTCTTAATTCTAGTTATCTTTTAAATATTTTCTATACAGCCACATCTAAGCCAGCAGTACCACAAACAGTAATTGGTAAACTGTATAAGGAGTTTGATGTTCCTGTCTATGCAACTCTAAAAGGGGTAGGTATTACATTTGTACTATATATGTATATATCAGAGATCAACAAATATACTTGAAATACAGCTTTTATTGATTTATTGATTGGTGTTTTATCGCCACTTTCAACACTATTATGCTATTTTGTTTAAACGTTTTAGTAGGCGCCAACCTTCAGTCACTATATAGAGTTTACCTGTTTCCCACATCTGTATGTATTTGTTTATTGAAATGCCACTCCACCCAAAACTGTTTTATTTATTATCAGTCAAAATGACTTTATTGAATGAAAATATTAAATCTTACTGAAGATATGTGTATATTTAGATGTTTGTTTTTGTTGTTATTATTGTAGAAAGCAGCACAGATCAGGAGTACACCTTTCACTGAAGATTCCTCTACAGATTCTTCTGAGGAAGACTGTTCACTTATTGTAACTCAGGCAGAACCTTCTAAAACAAATAAAGTCCAACAGAGCAGCTCAGGGGCCATCAAAAGGGGTATGTTGATGTATGATCTGTTATTATTTATTGCTTCATAGCCCATGGCAAATATTTAATGAATATTAAGGATGAAGATCGTTAGATGATTAAAGCAGAATTTAGGTACAAAGCATTTTAACTGGAAATTGATGATTCATTGAAATGATTGTGCAATTTAACTTTTATTGATGTCCTCCCACTGAATAAGTTTGGTAGCTATGTTGACTCAATTCATACCATTGAAGAGGGTCGTAATGGGGGTACCTTCATGACAAATAACGGTAAAAATTCTTGCCAAATGACGTTAACGGTAATTTTTGGTGCATGATGATAAAATGTACACTTTCTTTTAGACGATAAAAAATTTGACTGATTTTGACGAATCACGTTAATTTTTTTCCAAAAATAACGGTAACGTTAATGATTTGAGACCCCTGACGAATCACGATAAGGATATTTTGACGAATCACGGTAAAATTTTAACCAATTTGACGCTTACGGTAGCCGAAAATGACCGTTTGACGCCTGACGGTAAAGGGCATTACTACTCTCATTGAACTTTAAGATAAAGAATACCACATGTATAGTTATGTCTACTTATTTTGACTTACATCGAGAAATTGTCAATAAGGGTAGGTTGAGAACTAAACTTTATGACAAAAGAGATATTATTGATTTCCCTTTAGTGAACTTTCCATTTCTTTAGTAACATTCCAACTGTATCTATATAAGGAGTAGATTTGTTCCTGTTGATACAATATTTCTTGATAGAGTGTTGCTGCTTTCATGTATGCCTTAAAACCGAGGTTCAAAACTAGAAAGTTGACGTCAACCCTTCAAACAGACATCATTTAAGAATTGAATGCTTCTTTTTGTAACTTCATTGGGGTGTAAAAGGGTTGACTGAAGTACATTTTGTATGAAGCGCGGAAGTGCTTCATTCTAAAAATGTGCGCACGGTCAACGCTTTTACAACCCTATGAAGTTACAAAAAGAAGCATTCAATACTTATGATTACATTTTTTAGCTAGGATCATGAAAACATGATTTTTATTTATTTTACCTGTGCACTTTATTGTGGGACCTCGTGTCATCATGAATGATACATTTCATTGTGTAATGAATTTGATTAAGGAATAACGCGAGATTGTAGTTAGCCAATCGGAATAACGTATTATAATGAAACATACATCTAATGTAATTATTAAGAATTGGTTGAACACTATGAAATAACTGTATCACTGATGACCACCTGCATCTTCAAATTGTTGAAGACACAATCACCTCCGCTTTTCCGCTATTGTGCTATCACTGAATGTGACTCATTACAAAATTTCATTTTTAATCCAGGTGTAACATGTTACTAATCCTTTAGTTTTGTGATCTAAGTGTATTTAATTATTTGAGCAATTTAATTTGTGTTCCAGGTATTTCATTTTATTTTATATTCCAGGTGTATCAAGTTATTCAGAGTTTTACTTTATATTCCAGGTGTATCAAGTTATTCAGAGTTTTATTTTATATTCCAGCTGTATCGAGTTATTCAGAGTTTTCTTTCATATTCCAGGTGTATCAAGTTATTCACCGTTTTATTTCATATTTCAGGTGTATCGAGTTATTCAGAGTTTTCTTTCATATTACAGGTGTATCAAGTTATTCAGAGTTTTACTTTATATTCCAGGTGTATCAAGTTATTCAGAGTTTTACTTTATATTCCAGGTGTATTGAGTTATTCAGAGTTTTATTTTATATTCCAGGTGTAGTGAGTTATTCAGAGTTTTATTTTATATTCCAGGTGTATCGAGTTATTCAGAGTTTTATTTTATATTCCAGCTGTATCGAGTTATTCAGAGTTTTATTTCATATTCCAGGTGTATCAAGGTATTCAGAGTTTATTTTACATTACAGGTGTATCAAGTTATTCAGTATTTTATTTCATATTCCAGGTGTATCAAGTTATTCAGTATTTATTTTATATTCCAGGTGTATCGAGTTATTTAGAGTTTTATTTTATATTCCAGGTGTATCGAGTTATTCAGAGTTTTATTTTATATTCCAGGTGTATCAAGTTATTCAGTATTTTATTTCATATTCCAGGTGTATCAAGTTATTTAGAGTTTTATTTTATATTCCAGGTGTATCAAGTTATTTAGAGTTTTATTTTATATTCCAGGTGTATCGAGTTATTCAGAGTTTTATTTTACATTACAGGTGTATCAAGTTATTCAGTATTTTATTTCATATTCCAGGTGTATCGAGTTATTCAGCATCATCTGAAGTATCATGTGATTATGTTGATCCACCAGAGGAGAACTCAGGGAAAAGTGATTCTGATACATCTGAACCTGAACAGAAACTACTCAAGTATGCTGCAGACAACTGTAAACATGTAAGTCACCAATACTCAAGTATGCTGCAGATAACTGTAAATATGTAAGTCACCAATACTCAAGTATGCTGCAGACAACTGTAAATATGTAAGTCACCAAGACTCAAGTATGCTGCAGATAACTGTTAACATGTAAGTCACCAATACTCAAGTATGCTGCAGACAACTGTAAATATGTAAGTCACCAAGACTCAAGTATGCTGCAGATAACTGTTAACATGTAAGTCACCAATACTCAAGTATGCTGCAGATAACTGTTAACATGTAAGTCACCAATACTCAAGTATGCTGCAGATAACTGTAAACATGTAAGTCACCAAGATATCTATCATTCTTCTCTGTTTGGACATTTAGTATTGTAGTTTAAACAAAGGCAATCCATTATCGTTAAGTAGCTATTTAGACAATTTCCCATTTTGTTGTTTTAAAAAGATAAATAACAACTACTGAAAAAAGTTAAATCACAAAAATACTGAAATCTGAGGTAAAATCCAAAACGGAAAGTCCCTAATCAAATGGCAAAATCAAAAGCACAAAAACATCAAACTGACTTGGTACAGGCATTTTCTTATGTAGAAAATGGTGGATTGAACCTGGTTTTATAGTGCTAAACCTCTCACTTGTATGACAGTCGCATCAAATTCCAAAATCTCTGAACAGTATGAATTTACCTCATTGATTTATTGTTACCTGCCTAGTCCTTTCTGATTAAAAAAGGCCTCAGGTTCTTTCAAGGGTATTTTCATATAAAAAAAAATTAATTTCAAAATTCATAATAAACAAAAAAAATTTGAAATTAAAGATGAGCCTTTATTGAAATATGGGATGATAACATTAACTTACAATATAAATTATTTCTTTTGCAAGTGGTGTTTAGAATATTTTTGATTTTAGGTGGCAGAAACCAGTTATTTTACAATAAATCTTTAGAATTTCATGGATTTGTGATTTAATTTTCCTAAAAAATCATTCAAGCTTATATGCTAATAAAATTCATGGTTTCGAGTAACTAAGATGTGTGCGTGCTTATGTGAATATATAGAAAACCTGTAAATTTGGGTGTCTGTCCAGCATGGAGATTTTAAAATATATAAATGCATTGCAAATAAGGCAAAAAATGTGATGCTCTGATCAGGGCTTCCAAAACGGTCATATATTCCGGACTTGACCGAAACTTTCATAAAAAGACCGGCTGCTCTCAGCCTCAAACGGTCAAATAGAATTGGTGTGCCACATTTTGTTATTCAAGGCATTTTCATGAAACGGTCATTTTAATTTTTACCAACTATCGATCGATAAAAATGTCCGTTTGGGGCTTTGGGCATGTCCGTTTGGGCATTTTAGTTTATAATTGTGGCAATCTATTTCACAAAGATATTTCGGTCATAATTGGGTTTAATAAAACAGAAGCAGCATATTTTAGATACTTTGAAGTGTCTCAGTTAGTCTAATCCTCTGGGTACATAAATGTACGGCTTGGTCTTTAGCTTGGGTACATCAATAAAAAGTAGAAAAAACACGTTTTCTTTTATTTAAATAACAACAAGCTGTCAAACAATTATCCCTTCAATAAGTTATATTGAAGCCATAAATCATTCACTGATTACAGGTTTGTTACCTTTGATGAGGTGTCCTTAGCTTGTCTCTATCAATAGAATTAATGATGCATAACAATGTACATAAAGGTAATCAGGTAAACGAGGTCAAACATGTAAGCGTGTATGGAACAACATCCTATTTAATTACGCTTTATAGATATTATTTTAAATGAGCATTCAGTTTAAAAAAGTATCCTGATATTTAAAAGTTATTCTTCAAATAAGGATATTTATAAATGAATAAGTATGATATATATTATTTTATTTAACACTGTACATCGTGTTAAATACTGGGGTACTCTCAAAGGGAAAATTTACTAAAATATATAGGAAAAACACCGAGAATAGCTTTGCTTGGGTATACCAAGCTGAGTTGTCCAATAAATAAGGGGGAGTTCTCTATTCTTGTTTTCATATTAAAAACTGTTTTTATAATTAAAATCATAAAGAATAATATCCAATCATGACAATCTCCGACTGTTATAAAGACTTTGTCTCAAATTGAACTTTACAAATCTGCCATCATGGGCAAACGTAAACGTGGCGATTCCGATCAAAATTCGAAATCTGCTAAAAATGCTAGAAGCTTTATTCATAAATGGTTACAACTGTTTTTATGGTTAAGATTTGACAGTATGCTAAATGCCATGTTTTGTGACATTTGTCAAAAACATAAACTTAAAAATAACTTTGTAAAGCCTGGTTCGACAAATTTTCGAAAGTCAGCCGTTGTAGAGCATGCTAATAGCAATGACCACATTCAAGCTCTTAAATTAGAGACAGCTTCCAAAAGTAATCCAATTGTATCAGTATTTGAGAAAGTTCATGAAAAGACTGACAACGCAATGTGCACCTTGTTCCGTAATGCTTACTTTATTGCTAAAGAAAACTTACCAATGGACAATTTCAGTCAATAAATGATTTAACTAAGTTAAATGGTGCCGTGATCACTTCTAAATTATATCAAGAGAACAATGCCTGCTCCGAATTTATTCAGACAATTTCCGATGTTATAGAGAAAGAGGTGATGTCCGACGTAAAGTTAAGTCCCGCCGTGGGAATTATGATCGACGAGTCAACTGATCTGGCTACGCAAAAACATTTAATTTTGTACTTATCATACCTCAAAGCTGGTGAACTGAAAATTAGTTTTACAAAACTTTTGAACTTGTCTTCTGGTTCCGCCGTGTCAATTACTGCACATATAATTGCCTATTTAAAGTCATTTGTTGTAGACTTGTCTAAAATATTCGGCATGGGGTCTGACGGTGCGTCGATTATGATAGGAAAGCATGGAGGTTGGGAAATTGTACAAAGAAAAATGTTATCACTGTTCAGTAGATTTTACACGGTTTAAAACAATATCCTTCATTGGGCCTCCTCAATGTTATCTATAAATACCGCATCAGTTGTAAAAGTCACGTGGTCAGGTAATCAATACACAAAAAGAAATATATCACGTGTATTGATGATCAAGTTGTACTGCAATTAAAGCCAACATCAACAGTTTCAAATAAGATGGCCTTAATTTACAAAGTGTTAAGTACTCACAGAGAGAAGATAGATTATATAAACAGAAACAAAAACATGAGAACAGTCAGGTACTGAAGCTGATTGATGCAATGCTGGTTACTGTATTACGATACACAGAAAAATGACACAATACCGAGGATAATATTTTATTTATTTTTAGAATGAAGAAAACAAAACAGTTATAAATAATTTTATTGCATATAACACTACTAATTATTTAGACACATATATCAATTTATGCATCCTCTCAGTTACATTTAAGTATCCAGCTGATCATTGACCGTCAAAATATTTCTTTGAAAAATGTCCGGCTGTCGTCAGGAAATTTTGGAAGCCCTGGCTCTGATACATATCTAATCCTTACCCTCAGAATCTTGCTAATGTCAGACAAGAATTTTAGGCAAATTTCAAGAGATAAATGATATTCAATGAATTAGAGCCTTGTCCGAACCTATCCTTACCATCAAAATCTCAAGATAATTTTGTTTACATAAAACTGAATTTTTTCCCCACTTTGATTGGATGCTGTCAAGAGAGGAGACCCCAATTTTGACTCCTGATTGGTCCCATATATGAAGGAAATCCCCAACCTGTGTATGCAACTACTTACTTATATAGTACAATAGCCTAGAATTCACATTCATTTGTTTTTTTAGTCCACATGATGCAATTATATACCTCATTGCTTAACCTTAACAAAATTTCTGCGTGGGACACATGTTCTGGTACACCAAAACTGGTACCTGCCACCTTAGCAAGACCTTTTCCAAAATTCGTTTTGTCATGAACCAAAATTGCTCTGATGGAACTCTAAGGTAAAACCATCTGAATTAAGCTGTTTCATTTTGAGTTCTTTTGATGTTTTTTTTATACCAAATAGTTCTTGATCAGCTTTAAAATACTTTAAATTGAACTTACCTATGGGATGAAAAATTATTGCAGTTATAAGCATTCAAAGGTTATTTTATTGCAGGACACATTGGAGAAATTTGGTTACCTGTCGAAGCTTGGTGGCAAAGTTAAAATGTGGAAAAGAAGATGGTTTGTTCTCAGGAATGGAGAGTTGTTTTATTATAAATCTCAGGTGAGTCTTGTATGTTTAATTTTGAGACAATATATTAAGTTTTTCATCCATTTTTAGAGGGTGACAATTGAGTTAATATATAATTTATATAAAGATATCACAAGATTTCAGTATAATTAAGGGCATAATAAGAACTATGAATTCACCTTTGTGTGTTCATCAACAACCGTCATTAAAAATGCATTCAATTATCTCTGAATTTACAGTTTTTATTTAAAAAATGTTCATGGAAAGAAAAGTTCATGGATGTTTTTTATTTACTTTCAGCATGATGTATTAAGAAAACCTCAGGGATCAATTAAACTAGATGACCAGTCTAGAGTTGTGCATACTAAAGGGGAAATGGCATTTCAGGTAAATAGTGAGTGTTTGCAATGTAACTGATGATAGAATCAAATTGGAAAATGTTGCTTCAATTTAATCTTTGCATTAGTTAAGTTAATACTTGACCATTCTAGTTAAGGGTAAGAAAGTTCTCTTTTTTTTGTGCTTCTCACATAGTGCTGGCACAAAAAAAATGGTTCTTCTCAGTATTGCATCAAAAAATGTAAAATGTTTTCAAAACTTTTGCATACACTATAAACTTGTTTTAAATTCAGGATTTATAATGTAGAGTATCCTAAATTCCTTTAAAATTTTCGATTTTGTGTTTATTTCTACTGAGCTGCACTAAATAGCAGATTACAGAGTGTAAATCAGATTTGTGTAGATGGGTTTCTGTATCATTGATGTATACCCCACATCTCGTTTTATTCATATTTATCCTTCATAATTTTCATTTATTTTCAGATCACCTCAGGAAAGAAGACATACTATTTTACAGCAGATACCCTGTTTGAAACAGAGAAATGGATTAGATGTAAATATTACAGAATTTACGAATCCTATGAAATTTCATGGGTTATTTATAGTACTGTAAATTCAGAAATAATTTTGAGGTTTTTATTAATGCGAATAATGCGACTGGGTGAGTATCGCAATAATAAGAACTCATATTCTGATATATGATACAATTGAGAAAGGAAACAGGGATTGTGTCAAAGAGACAACAACCCGATCAAATAGCAGAAAACAACCCAAGGCCACCAATGGGTCTTCAACACAGCGTGAAAAGCCAGCACCCGGAGGCGTATATATACATATATCTGTATGCAGATTTTCCTCAAATCACATTAATTAATCACGCAATAATTTCTGAATTTGCAGTATTTTTAAATAACGATTGTAATAAACGATTGTAATAAACGATTGTTTGACAACGATCTCTGGAAAGTGGTTTTTCTTGATATTTACTCTATTATTTTATCTAAAAAGTGTACTGTACTGTAAATTTCCCAAAGTTATAAATAATAGAACTGTAAAATTAAAGTGGCTGCCACTGTTGCTGAAGGTATAAATGTTGCATTTGTTTGCCAGGTGAGTGATTCAGGCTGGAAGGAGCCTTCTAGTTTATCATAGGAGACTGTTGCTTGAGCTACTTTATAATTTTGATTTGATTATTTCAGTACTACAGAAGGTGTTTAAAAGACAAGCTACAAGTTTTCTATTAGATCACATGGACACTAAAGCTGTACTGAAAGGAACATTGCATAAAGTAAGTGTTGTGTTTATTTGTTAAGCTGTTATTACAAAGCTGATATACACAGTCTTCATGCTTAATCACAGACCCAGCAGCCAAGGCTTCTTAAACTGCTTTAGGGCCTGTTAAAGTCATCTCTATAGGCCAACAGAATTGTACTAAAATTTTCCAAAAATTTAGCTCGGGCCTGTAGATTCAAAAGTTTATCATGAAGACTGCATACAGATTATAAATTTCATTTAATTGTAATAAATCATATTCTTATATATGTAAATGACTAATTTTAATATGTGGCCCCTCCTATGAAAGCTATGTTCTAATTAAAATAGAGCATGGAGTGCATGTGCCTGACATCACAATTAAAATTGCAAGGTCAATTATATTTTTAACAACCCTGGAAAGTAAAATGAACAATTTTGTTGGTGTTTCTTGTAAGGAAAGTAAATAAAATCAATTTAAAGTAAGTTTACATGTTTCAGTTAGTTTTTAATACTGAAATTCTAGAATGTTTTTGCTTCATCAAATCAAAATGGCTGCCTTTTGAACTCGTCTTAACTAAAGGTCTGCTTTAAAGTGCAATAGTTCTGGTTTTTCCTATTAGAATCAAAATAATTCTATCATACCATGCTCTATGCTTAAGCTTACTCTCTGTATAAAGATATTGACAAATATAATACCTACCCATATTGAAATTAGCATAGAGCATGACATGAAAGAATTATTTCTTAAATAATTATTATGTAAATTTATATTATAAAATAGATTTTAATTCTCCAATAATGATTCCAATATTATAGATTCCAATTACATGACCTGCCTTTTTGAGTAGAGGGCATTATGTTTTCTGTTCTGTGCTTCTGTCCGTGCGTCCTGTATTAGGTTAATGTGTTGGTTTGAGGAAGTTTGTAATCGCATCAACTTGAAACTTAAATACACATGTTTATTATGTTTGAAATGTTTAATATATATGCCAAATTGTAGTTTTTATGCCCCACCTAGGGGCATTATGTTTTTCGGTCTGTGCGTAAGTTCGTTCCTCCTTCCTTCTGTCCGTTAGTCTGTTCGTCCGTCTGTCCCGCTTCAGGTTAAAGTTTTTGGTCAAGGTAGTTTTTGATGAAGTTGAAGTCCAATCAACTTGAAACTTAGTACACATGTTCCCTATGATATGATATTTCCGATTTTAATGCCAAATTAGAGTTTTTATCCCAACTTCACGGTCCACTGAACATAGAAAATGATTGTGCGAGTGGGGCATCCGTGCACTATGGACACATTCTTGTTCATTCAGATTTCAGGGTTCCCTGATAAATGGAAATGTAAAAGTGCAAGCAGGGTATGGTGTTCTTTGGACATATATTCTTGTTTGTGTTAATAAGTAATATAACCCTTACCTTTTCATTTTTTCATGTACAATGTTGAAAAAAGTAAGATACTTATGGTTTGACACAGGTTTACAAAGGTAGTTTTAGAGGGTGCAAAATAAAATTTGGGGGAATCCCTGCATTGAGTTTATAATAAAGAATATGTTATGAGAAAGAAATTTAGTTTGTCATTATTTACAGGTAAGGAATGGAGTCACAAGGAAATGTTGGTGTGTTCTGGTTGGTAGATATCTAATCTATCACAGGAATCCATCTGACAAGGTAAGCATTAAATTATTGTTCAATTGTGGTGGTGTCGTGCCATCAGACAATGTAGAAAATGGAAATGGATATGCAAGATATTTAAGAACTTGATTCAAAATATATTACTATACCTCTTATTACTCCCAGGGTGTAATTAGCAGTTTAGAGAACCTTTTAGTGATTTAGTGAATAATAGAAATCATCAATACGTCCATTTTCAAATTTTCTTAAATGGTTTCTAATTTCTGTATTTTTAGCATTGAGACTTAATTCATAAGCTCAACAAACTGTGTTCCCTGTCAATGCAAACCTTAGCATGTTTTAATGTACATAAGCTGTTAAAAAATTTATTCCATAACCACCTATTTTGCAATCCCAGTTATTATAAATGTGTGATGCACTTAAAATTCATAATTATTGTCAAGTGCAGCATAATACGATATGCCCTAGCCACTTGCTTTGTAAAGGCAGGGTTCAGATTTTGTCCTTCATAGGAGTTGTTTCTCTAAAGCAAACAACTTACATTTGTAAACAGTCATTAACCTGGCCTATTTGTATTTATTTTACTAGACACCATTAGGCCAGATTCATTTAAGAGATGCCAGGATAGAAGACATTGATAATAGTAACGATTCTGATGACGAAGCTGATGTTACCAAGGAAACCAAACATGCCATTGCAATATGGCCACCATTCCAAGGACCAACCTATCTTATGTTACCTAGTCAACATGAAAAGGTTTGTATGATGCCACCAAGTTGACTGAAAACAATTCAGAATATAGCCACAGTTCCCATGTACTGCATGGTACTAAGACAGTATGAAAAGTTTTATGTATGGTGTTACCATGGAAACTAAATATTGTTACAGTTCTATTGTTTACCTTGTCTCATTAAATTTAGGCAACCAAACATGTCAAAGTAATGTGTCTAGGGTCCATCCTACGACCTTTGACTGTTTTTCAGTTAATATGAAACGGTATGTTCAATGTTTCTTCAACAACATTTACATATTATATGCAAAATTTTGTAAATTGTACTGTATGGAGGCTGGTGACCTTTCTCAATCTAAATATTACATGAAAGACTTTCTTTTTAAATGATTATTGAGTATCTTGAGTGGATAAATATCATTACCAACAAGGTAATGTTGCAGAATTTATATTTATCAATTAGATATTGTTGATGTATTTTGCAGGATTCCTGGTTGTATCATTTAACAGTGGCTGCAGGGGGAGGGACAGGCAATGTGGGGACAGAATATGAACAGATTATATCTAAAGTGATGGAGTGTAATGCAGATTCTAGTAAGCCTATATATTTTACATATTAGAGACAGATTGGGGAGGGGAGGGACAGGCAATGTAGGAATATCTGAAGTGGTACAGATCTAGTAAATAAGTAGATTGCAAAACAGGATTGGGCAGGTTAATTTGTAAGTCAGTAATTTTTCAGTGGCATTTATTTTTAGTCTATTGTTTTAGCATGTTATATCTTAACACTAGTTTTACAGGTCAGATTTCTATTCAATGAAATTTCCTGCCAAAGTTTACACTTCTGCGACACAATCTTTTTGCTAAATTTGAAATTGATAATATCTGTTGGAAATGCATATAACCAAATTAAGTTTTTGTGTCACTCCCTATGAAATTACGAAGGCTAGACTAAGGCATGCTGTTTCTGATGGCAGTGTCAACAATACATTAGTTTGTGATTAGGTCAGTTTAAATGGAACAACTAGTGGAAGGTCAATTATATTTGGTATGCAGTTGTATTAGCATTGGCAGATCTCATTTCTGTGGACATTATTTGACACCACCCCTCAGTCATGGTCTATTGACCCTGAAAATTTTGCTTAGTTTTCATGTTAAAGTTTGTGATTAGGTCAGTTTAAATGGAACTACTAATGATAAGTCAATGATATTTGGTATGCAGTTGTAATAGCATTTGCATGTCTCATATCCATTGAGATTATTTGGCCCTGCTTCTTCAGTGATGGTTCATTGACCTTAAAACTTTTGCATAGTTTGTATAGTTTGTGTTTAGGTCAGTTTAAGTGGAACGGCTGAGGATAAGTCAAATCATATTTGGTATTAGCACTGGCAGTTCTCATTTCTACAGAGATTAAATGGACCAGTACCTTCAGTCATGGTTTATTAACATTGAATGTTTTGAATGTTTAAAGTATTGCCATTTTAATTTCAACTTTGGCATTATACTATCAAAATTCTTTACAGCAGAGACATATCTCTGTGTCAACAGTTTATTTAATATAATGGTTAACCTTTTATTTCAGATTCTGTATATTGGAAACACCCATTATTATTACACAGTAAGGACCCTATCAGTAAACCTCTTACCACACTCCCCTCTGCTGAACTGGAGTTAAAGGCACTTGAAATATTTAAGGTAAGCCAAATAGACATGGATAAAAAAAGCAAAAGGAAAATACCAAACTACAAAGTAAATTAAAAAAAGGGGACGTCTATAAGAACTTACACAATCAAATGTTATCAACCAACTTTGTCAATCAAAAAGTTGATTCACATTTTTAAAATGTTTTAAAGAACTGTGAACAAAATGTTGATGGTCATATTTAGGAGTACCAACACTTTGGGTAACAATATGTTGCATACACTGGGAGTATACTAAAATTATTTGAATAGTTATTGCTTGTAAAATTTTTGGAATACCGCCAAGGTTTATTATGTTAATATGTTTTTGTTTTGATATGGCATAATGTTGTTTCCTCAATGAAGTATAACTCCTATCTCTTTATTCATATTTATGAAAGTCTCTTCTCTTATATTTAGACATAAAGTGACGTTCATGAAATGTTTTGAATTGAATGTAACACATGAATATGGACAAATAAAAATAAAAAATCTTGATTTCTGTTTCAGCTAATACTCCAGTTTACTTATACACTAATAGAATCAACAAATTTAGAATACCATACCAATTTGTCTCAGAAGTTGTTAGATATCTGTCTGGCATATCCAGAACTACAAAATGAACTTTTTTGTCAACTCATTAAACAAACATCTAGTCATCCAGTCCAACAGAAAACAGCTGTACAGGTCAGTAGCTATTTCACATCTAGTCATAAATAGCTGTACAGGTGAGTAGCTAGTTCACTCGTCATTATGATTGTAATGATTACATTAAAGTTGTGGTCGTTTTTTAAAAAGTTTTAGATATTCAACAAAATATAGGATTTCAGATGATTTTTTAGTCCTTTTAGTAAAAATGGAATATATCATCCTTTTAGATAAAAACAAAATTTTATTCTCAATTATCAAATTAAAGCTACTGTGGATTCATTTATTTTCGTGGGTATCAATTTTCGTGGATTGAGAAAAACTTGCATTTTCGTGGATATCTGATTTCGTGGTTTTGCCGATCTCTGCATACAAAGCCTTTAAAAAATTTGTAATTCGTTGAACATTTGAATTCGTTGTTAACCTATACCCACGAAACCCACGAAAATTGGTATCCAACGAATAATAATGAATCCACAGTATTTTCATGTTATAGACACTTAATACTTAAGCATAGTTCTCAGAAGTTGCATATATGATTTGTACGGAACAGAAATTCATAAAAGATATTAATATCCCTCATTTGAATGTGTACCCTTTTCCTTAGTACCATTTCCAGATGATATTATTTTTTTAAACGGATTGGCCTTAATATAGTTTATTTATTTTTCAGAATTTATTATTATGTGGAAAACATTCCTGGTATTTATGCCATGCTACACCTACCTCACCCACTGGATCATTAATGGACTTGTCCGACTCTAGATTAAACCCTGCAGCTAATGTCATATTACAGGGGTGGCAGCTATTGTCCATGTGTGTTTCATTATTCCTTCCAAAACAGAGCATTATGTGGCATTTAAGAGTACATCTACAGAGACATGCTGACCAAAGGTTGGTCTACCAAAAGTATTGATAAAATAAAAATCATTTTTTGGTATTTTATTCATTGTGTTGCAGCTTTTTATGGGTTTTATCCTGCAATTGAGCATTGCACTATACAAATATAGGTGTTCATAAAAACCGAAACAATATACATATAACAGGTATACCTTAAAGATACATATAGTTTCCAGGTATCTTGCTTCTGTTGTGAGCAAATGGTTATATCCAAAGTACTGTTTACATTACAGTTCACTGTAGGTTCCTTTTTGCTGTCCGCATTTAAATTAGGTCCATTGCATTAAAAATCAAAATCAAAGTTTGGGAGGAAAAATCTATGCATTTGAATGTAGATTCCAAATTACAGGATAAAAAACAATATTGGTGCATTGCAGGAAATTATGTAATTTGTTTGTTTGAGCTTTAGAAACATGAAGAAAAGCGGAGCTCACCAAGCTTTTCTCCTGTTCTGTAGCTAGTACAAGTATTGTATGTATAAAAACTTGTGCATTATGGGAAGTATTTGGATATAAGTTAAATACACTTAAGCTTGCTCAGATGTAATATTGAGGAAGCTGTAATAAATATTTTGGAAGTTGGAAAAATATCTACTGATTTCATTTACGGTAAATTTCAGAAATTAATGTGTTTTTTTTTAATTATTTTGTATCCCTAACAACCATCTAAATCAGAGATTATTGAACGTGATTTAAATGCACGATGTAACAGAAAGTTACAAACATAAATAGAAATAGTACATTTTTTTTTTTTGGGGGGGAGGGGGGAATTAATTTCAAATTCTCTGTAATAAATATACAAATTACATTTAATAAAATATTAGTAGATATTTTTTTCACTAGCCAGATAATAAAGAGGGGATGTTTTTTCTTGAACATTGCTATGTGAAGTAAATCACATTTTCTATTGTTATGTTTTCATTTTTCATAGCTTTAAATGTATAAATTTTGTGATTGTAGGTCAGATATTGGAAAGTATGCCATATTTTGTCAGCGAGCTCTTGAGAGAACCATTCTTAAAGGAATTCGTGAAGTGAGACCTTCACGGATGGAAGTATTGTCCATCTTGTTACGTAATCCATATCATCATTCTCAACCAATCAGTATTCCTGTACATTTCCTCAATAATACATACCAGGTACTGTAATTGTTTGAGGGGGAATGTAGTTTATCATCATTACATAATCCATATCATCATTCTCAACCAATCAGTATTCCTGTACATTTCCTCAATAATACATACCAGGTACTGTCAATTGTTTGAGGGGGAATGTAGTTTATCATCATTACGTAATCCATATCATCATTCTCAACCAATCAGTATTCCTGTACATTTCCTCAATAATACATACCAGGTACTGTCAATTGTTTGACGGGGAATGTAGTTTATCATCATTACGTAATCCATATCATCATTCTCAACCAATCAGTATTCCTGTACATTTCCTCAATAATACATACCACGTACTGTCAATTGTTTGAGGGGGAATGTAGTTTATCATCATTACGTAATCCATATCATCATTCTCAACCAATCAGTATTCCTGTACATTTCCTCAATAATACATACCAGGTACTGTCAATTGTTTGACGGGGAATGTAGTTTATCATCATTACGTAATCCATATCATCATTCTCAACCAATCAGTATTCCTGTACATTTCCTCAATAATACATACCACGTACTGTCAATTGTTTGAGGGGGAATGTAGTTTATCATCATTACGTAATCCATATCATCATTCTCAACCAATCAGTATTCCTGTACATTTCCTCAATAATACATACCAGGTACTGTAATTAGTTTTAAAGAAGATTATACTGGTAATGAGTTTTCATTACATGATCCCTTAAACATTCTCAGTCAATCTGTATTCCTTTATATTAGATATATGCCTTGTTTTATTGGAGAGTTTAGTGGACAACTTTTGTATAATTACTGTAATCTTTCACAATTAATTTCTATGCAGTTTTGATAACCTTTAACAGACAGCTTTGAAACAAAGACTTCACATGAGCATGAATAAAAAGAGATATGGGGTAGACATCAATGAGGGTACCAAATGAAATTTTGTTAGGGTGCCCATTTTGTATAAGCAACTCCACCTAAACCCCTTATTGGAATTTATTGAAACTTCAGAATCTTAACAAAAATGGATACCATTGTGCACCTTTTATTTTGTTTTTCGATCCAAGGTACTTTGAAGCATCCATGGCGGATTAAGATAAAATTTCCGATCCACAAGGTAATGATTTTCATTTGGTTTCAGTTGTAACTTGCTGCCTCCAATCAAAGAGCGCCTTTATTATGATCAAGTGTAAATGTAAATAAACTATTGCCATGTGCTGATTGTGCAACAAGTCTTTACCCCCAAAACATAGGATGATATTTGGTGACAATTTTGAAGTTCTTAATCAACTAATGGAAGGTCCTGGATATGTTTCTAGCACAAATGTTGGAATGTCAATGTATATTTTCTGTTCCTGCTTCACGAAATATGTAAACACTTGCCACAATTATTTTTACACCTCCACACCGAAAAGAGTTCAAATGCTGCCAAGGGATATGATTGTATGAGCTTTGCTTGCACTACATGTAGAGTATTTTCCCAAGTTCCACAAGACCACCCCATGTTGCAACACCTGATATTTTACGCAGTTTTAAAGACATTATTTTCATTCATTTAAACAATTACAATAAAATTGGCTGATAAAAATTGGCTAACACATAGATGGTTTAAGTAAATTTGATAATATTTCAGGTGGTTAGTTTTGATGGATCTACAACAGTAGAAGAACTGTTACATTCACTCACAAAGAAATTATCCATGAGGGATTCTAATCAGTCTGGGTTTGCCCTTTTTAGTGATGACCCATGTATTATAGAGGGGGAACATTTCTTACAGTCACATATCAAGGTAAGTCATATATAGTCATGGTAAATTATAGTCATGATAAATTATATTCAATCAGAATAATTTTTCAATTTTCTCTCATATAATCTTAAAATTTCTAATTGGTGCTGAAAAAATCAAGTGATGCTAGAAATTCAAAGGTGGAGCATCACCTTTTAATAACCTGTGGTGATCCATAAGTCGATAATTGTAGAGACAAAGTTTTGACGTTCTAAGCATTCAAAGTGATCACCCAAAATTACATTTACTGGTGCATCTCTATAACCTTTCTCGTTGATTACTTTTTGTAATGTTTTGGCCCCATTTGTTTATGTATTTTGCACTTTTACAGAAGGAAATAGTAGAATCAACTAATAGATTAGAAAATATAGGCATGTTCTGTTAGCTATTCAGGCTTATTTATAAAAATTACTTTTATGTAAAAGTCTTGATTTTTGGAAAACACATTTTTTATATCTGAACTTGTTTAATTGTATTTTGTGGAATCCTAAGAAACAACTGGAGCATATCTCTTTGGTCTGTTTGGGTCTGTTTGGTGTTGAAATTCCAATGTATTCTAACACACTTTAATATCTTTAACTTAGATTGTTCACTATTTTATTCTATTTTTAACTGCATACAAACAACTTTTTAGATTTCCTCCTTTTCGTCTTATTTTCAACTGTATTTCTGAATACAGGATCATTTACATTAAATATATGAATTGGAATAGCACAAATTCGATACATGCTAGACACATGTGATACATGTTAGACACATGTGTGAAGAAAAGCATGTGAGACATGCATGGCAAGAAATGTCTTTAACACTTAAATGTTACAAATGTGTAAAACACAGGTGCATTGTATTACATATGTGCAAATGTGTGTCATATTACTAGTGTAAACCTATATTGTCATTTTTACAACTGTGTCTCTTCAGCTACAGAGTACTTTCTATTACATATAGGTTTGTGATGTCATATCCAAGTGGGAACATATATTCAAAGAGAATAACTCAGGGAAGCTAGACAGTAGCAGGACGATAAAGTTTCTGTACAAAAATAGGTAAGTTTGACCCAATTTATGACTGATGTAGAAGTCACCTCTGACAGTATGACTCCTGCTGAAAGAGTGCTCTTTGACTGTGAGGGATGTATAGAATTTGCAGCCTTGTCATGATGGAATGGATAATGTAAATTCAAAAAATTTTACATGCACTTATTATTGCGTTTGTTGCACAATAGACAAGAAAAACAAGGTTAATTATTGCTATTTCATGAAATGATGCATTCAAATAATGCTAATAATATTTAAGAAGGGAGTTTTAATTTTGCAAAACCTTTCCCATCACAATTTTGGAAATAATAAATACATCACAAAAATTTCTGAATTTACAGTCACTGTATAAAATCTGATGTTTTTTGTTGCGTGAAAGACATCATCTCTGCATGTAAAAGAACCATTGCAATAACTTTTTTCGGTATCAATTTTCATGAATCTAGGAAAAGATGTATCTTAAAGGAAGATTTGGTGGGTTTTTTTACAAATTCTGCATCCAGCCTAAAGGAAATTTGTAGTTTTTTTTAACACTTTTAAAAAACTCATGGTTCACCTATGCCCACCAACTCCATGAACATAAGTACCCCAAGAATAACAATAAGCCAGTGAGTGTTTATATCTGTGCAACACAATTTCTGTCACAATTATTCACATGAGTTCAAACATTGCAATAATCTTTTAATTTTCAATAATTGTATTTTTTTTCTGATTTCTTTTAGGTTGTATTTCAAGTCAACATGCAAATCAGAAACAGATAAAGAAAAGTTGTTGTTAGCTTATCAGGTCAATGAGGATATTGTTCAGGGAAGATTTCCTCTCAATAAAGACCTGGCTCTAGAATTAACTTCATTGTTAGCTCAGGTTAGTCTGTATTTAGCTTATCAGGTCAATGAGGATTTTGTTCAGGGAAGATTTCCTCTCAATAAAGACCTGGCTGTAGAATTAACTTCATTGTTAGCTCAGGTTAGTCTGTATTTAGCTTATCAGGTCAATGAGGATATTTTTCATGGAAGATTTCCTCTCAATAAAGACCTGGCTCTAGAATCAACTTCATTGTTAGCTCAGGTTAGTCTGTATTTAGCTTATCAGGTCAATGAGGATATTGTTCAGGGAAGTTTTCCTCTCAATAAAGACCTGGCTCTAGAATCAACTTCATTGTTAGCTCAGGTTAGTCTGTATTTAGCTTATCAGGTCAATGAGGATATTGTTCAGGGAAGATTTCCTCTCAATAAAGACCTGGCTCTAGAATTAACTTCACTGTTAGGTCAGGTTAGTCTGTATTTAGCTTATCAGGTCAATGAGGATATTGTTCAGGGAAGATTTCCTCTCAATAAAGACCTGGCTCTAGAATCAACTTCATTGTTAGCTCAGGTTAGTCTGTATTTAGCTTATCAGGTCAATGAGGATATTGTTCAGGGAAGATTTCCTCTCAATAAAGACCTGGCTCTAGAATTAACTTCATTGTTAGCTCAGGTTAGTCTGTATTTAGCTTATCAGGTCAATGAGGATATTGTTCAGGGAAGATTTCCTCTCAATAAAGACCTGGCTGTAGAATTAACTTCATTGTTAGCTCAGGTTAGTCTGTATTTAGCTTATCAGGTCAATGAGGATATTGTTCAGGGAAGATTTCCTCTCAATAAAGACCTGGCTGTAGAATTAACTTCATTGTTAGCTCAGGTTAGTCTGTAATTAGCTTATCAGGTCAATGAGGATATTGTTCAGGGAAGATTTCCTCTCAATAAAGACCTGGCTCTAGAATTAACTTATTTGTTAGCGCAGGTTAGTCTGTATTTAGCTTATCAGGTCAATGAGAATATTGTTCAGGGAAGATTTCCTCTCAATAAAGACCTGGCTCTTGTTAGCGCAGGTTAGTCGGTCTTTTCTTCTCGTATGTTTTTGATATCACCGAGTGAAGATTTCCTTTAATTATAAAATTGTTATATTTTTTTTTTTTTATATTCTGATCTGAAGCTGTCAATTTTAGAGTTCAGTGAGAATATGTGGTCAGTGTTGCCCATGGCATGTATAATTATATAATAACATAATAAATAGATGTGGTATGATTGCTGATGAAACAACTTTCCACCAGAGACCAAATGACCTAGGTCTTAGCAATTATAGGTCACGGTACAGCTTTCAACAATGAGAAAAAAACCATACCGCAGAGCAAATTTTAAAAAGTAACATAGCAAAATGCAAACAATTCAAACTACGAGAAAACTAACAGCTGGATTTATGTACAAAACAAATTTGAAAAACAGCAACAAACGACAACCACTGAAATACAGGCTCCTGACTTGGGATAGACTCATTCAGAATGTTTCTGGGCACTAAACCCTCCCTTAACCTGGTACAGTTGTGTAAAGGCACAACAAAAGACCAAACTATAAAAATCAGTTGAAAAGGACTTGACTCATCAGATCAATACAAAGCACAAAAAACAACTAGCAAAAACACTGAAACACAAATTACGGATCTGAGAGTACTCACAGTTACTGAAGGTTAGTTCCATGCCACTAACAACTATATATATCCATTATAGGTAGAATATGGTGATCTGAAGCTGTCATCCTCAGACTACAGTGAGAATGGAGATATATGCCAGACAAATGTTGCCCAACAAGTATCAACAGTATTAGATAGATTTTATCCTAAAAAGTTTACCTCTATATCAGAAGAAGAACAAAGGTGAGAGTTTTGTGTAGTGTTTCATCATCATATTCCTAGATTTAATTTTATGCTAAAACAATGTGGCAAACATAAGATAAGAAACTGTTATAGATAATGTAAATTCAGAAATATGCATAATTTAGTGACAAATTAGGCCAAATTTTAGGTGAGGTCACTCATTATTTTGCCATGCATTTTTACTTATTTCTCCATTAATCTATAGTGACCATAAAAAATGTTATATATCACAATCAAAAACAGTAATTTGTGCATTTATATTCTACAATTTCATGCAGATAACACCTAAGTAACATAAATCCCTCCTTTAAGTAATATATATGTGGCCCATCACCGTTTTGGAAATAATTACTTTTGAGACAAAACATTTTTGACTGGGTATAGTTTTGACACATTGGTAGCTTCATCAATTCATTTTAAGTTCTTCTTTGAAAATACTGTTTCTTTCTGTCAGAATTAGGTCTGTATTTTTGCAAATGTTTCAATGACTTCAGTCGGACAAGTCATAAATCTGTAAAAAACTATACAAATTTTTGTGGTCATAAATCATAAAAACCTGTTGTGAAGTACAGACTAGATCATTATATGACCTTACAACTATGCTTTACTATGATTACAGGTCTGTGATAAGTAAGTTGTTAGAGAGATGGTCATCATTACGTGGAAGATCTGCTCAGGATTGTATACGGGTATATTTAGCTGTTGTCAGAAAATGGCAGAACTGTGGTGCTAAACTATTTAGAACAAAGGTAATTTAACCTTATTTTATAAAAATAAGGAGATGTGATATGATTGCCAATGAGACAACTATCCACCAAAGTTCAAATGAAGTGGATGTAAGCAATTTTAGGCAACCGTACGGCCTTGAACAATGAGAAAAACCCATACTGTATAGTCGGCTAATAAAGGCCCCAACATGAAATATATGAAACAATTCAATTTAGAAAACTTACTGCCTATTTTATAACAAAACAATTTACGAATGATATTTAGTATGGTTTTAATTTACTGATAACAAAATCAATATTTATACCAATAAAAACAATATTCAAAGATCTAATTGCAGTGTTGTTTGGTAACCTTTTAGAATAAATTTATTTAAAGGAGTGGTAAGTTTGTTTGCTTTCTCCTTGCCAATAATACAAAAATGTTATTAAAGTATCTGTACACTATTGAAAATTGCCAATATCTTTAATTCTGTACACTAAGTTGAATTATGCCATGTTCTATATGTACACCATTTCTGCTTGAATGTCTTTCTAAAGCATCAATTACTTTTCTCCCTGATTTAAAAAAAAAACAAGAAGTAATTTAGGATCTGAATAGAAAAACTGCATTTTATTTCATTATTTATACATAAACAAACTTTGGACAGAAATCTCAATTGTTAAATAAAATCATCTTCTGACATTGGCAAGTATAATATATTTGTTGTTGATTTCAGACAAAAACGTCTCTAAGTAATACAGAAGATGTATGGTTAGCTGTCCATGAAGAAGGGATTACTGTATTAGAATATTCCACAATGGTAAATTTTGTATTTTAGATCGACTGTGAAAATACAGCACTAACCTTTCAAGGGACTTTTGTGTTACAATCACTGCTTAAAAGAGTATCTCATCTATTAACATAGCTTGCAAAATTAACCTAGCTACCAGTATGTATAAAGGTCATCTACATAAAAAGTAGAATAGCAAAATTACCAAACTCCAAGGAAAATTCAAAATGGAAAGTCCTTTATCAAATGACAAAATCAAAAGCTCTAACACATCAAAGAGGGTGGTAAAGGGTTATTTTCGTGCAACATGTTTTGCCATTTTTATTTCACGTGCAGCCGTGAAAAAGGTTCGTTTTTCACCGTGTTTTGTGAAATCGGTAAAAAGATCAACATGCAAGACATTTTTATTTGTTCATTCATCGTGAAATGGCAATGTTATTTCGCGTTCCTCCGTGCAGATACCCCCCCTTTACACCCCTCATCATACGATAGCTAAAAAAAGGATAACGAGAATCACCAAAAATGTTGGACAGTACAACAAATCACATCAACCACCAACACTAAAGTCCACAGAAAGAAAGACAACAACCAACAACGCATGGTACAGATAGCCTTACTTCTAGGTATTTTATGATATGAATTCATACACTGTATTTGCTTCTTTTTCATAAGGTTCAGCTTCACTATGTATTCTCTTTTTACAGCAACCAATAATTTCCTATGATTACCGGTCGGTAATTACATTCGGCGGTTGGAAAGATGATTTCATGATTGTTGCTACACAGTTAATAGAGTCAGCTCCACATCATTATGAACACAGAACAGAAAAACTGTTATTTACAATGCAAAAATGGAAGGTTGGTTTTATGATATGCTAGGATGAAATTTTGACTGATGTAACAAAATATAGGTACAACAGGCATTTAAATTTCTTAGGGTCCCACAAAGTAATCTGGAGAAGGCTTATGGTAATCAGATTGTCCATCGGTCATAAATGGTTTCAACACTCTACCTTTCATGTCCCCCCCTTGTGCATATGTATAAAAAGTGTTTTTCACTCTCTAACTTTCAAACCTCCTGCAGTTAGATAATGAAACTTGACATGATAATTCACCACTATTAGAAGTTGTTGTGTAGGGTATAAAAAAAAATGTACTGTGAAGGTCATGGTCAAAAGTTCAACTTTGCCATCCCTATGCATATGTACAAAAATTGTTTTAGCTCTCTAACTTTAAAACCCCTTGAAGTAGGAGATGAACTGGATGCATCAAAACATTTCTGCCTTCCATGGTTATGTATAAGATATGGAAAAATGGAAAAAAAAACTCTTATTACTTCTAATTTGCAATATTCACTAAAGCGGGGTCCTCTGGGTTTTATACAGGGATCTGTAAAGACAGGTTTCCATTTTATGCAGGGTTAAGAATCCACAAGTTTCTGTTTAATGAAGGGTTCAGATTCAGTTAAAACAGGTTTAGATTTTATACAGTTTTGTTTTGACAGGTTTATGTTCTGGTTTACACAGGGTTCAGTTAAGATAAGTTTCTGTAACTGCAGGGTTTAGTTAAGACAGGTGTCTGTTACTGCAGGGTTCAGGGTTCAATTTAGACAGGTTTCTGTTACTTCATGGTTCAATTGAGACAGGTTTCTGTTTAATACTGCAGATTTTAGTTTTGATGAATTTTCATTAAAACCAGGGTTTACTATGAGACTGTTTACTGTTTTGTTGAATGTGTATATAATTAAATAATTTAATCTTTTACAGATTTTGGAGATTACTTTACTGATGGCCAGTTATATCAATGTAAGAGTACAAAGACCTTCCAATGATATTAGCCCAGAATCATGACAACCATTTTCAACTAATCAACGAATGCAGATGGAGGTCAAACACCTGATGTTTTCAGACCAGAATCCTGACAACCAAATGAATATGTTTTAAATTGTCAAATTTCAGTTCCTCTATTTTTTGAAAGAAGTGCAAAAAATGGTCTAATTTTAGTAGATAAAAATCCTGATGTCCAATCAGTTTTTAACTCATCGATAAAGACAGAAGGAGCGGAAAGATCATATATAAAGTTCACAGGCAGGAATTCTGACAACAGTGTTCATTTCAATAAATTCAGGAAGACTGGTGAACAGCATATACCTTTTAGTGATATTGATTCAGATTTTTAATGATTTAATCATTAAGTTGTAAATTTCCAACTGATCTGTTTATAAGTGCAAATATCATCTTATGTTGTCAGTCTTAAATCCTGATGACCAATTGACTATGTTGTCCATTTTCGTTCCTGAATTCTGTTTAATACATCTTCATCAGATATTCAAATGATATAAACCAAGGAGTTTGAAATTCCAATTCAGAATACAAAGCCCATCTTGTGTTTGCCAGTCCAAAAACCTAATGACCAATTGATTATGTTGTCAATTTTCAAAACATAATGAATTCTGATGATCATTTACATCTTTACATAATCATTAGATATATATATATAATATCAACCGAGAAGTTTGAAATTCTAATGACCAAAAAAATACTCACATATGAGAAGCTCACCAATGATTAACTATCATGCTTACTCCTCAATTTCCTGATGCATGACCAACAGATATTCTTGTGAACTCTGCATAATTGACCACTTTATTTTTTTTGCCAAGTTACATGGGAATTTTAAGTCATTTTCATTTGTAATTTAACATATGATAAAATGATTCAAGTATTAAAAAAAATCTGTGAGAGAAGATATTACTGACTTTTAAGTCTTATTGAACAGTAAGATCACAAACTATTGTGATTAAATATTGGTATTATTCACATCTGTATCTTTAACACTGAAACTGGATTTCCCTTAAGAAAATAAGGTATTAGATTGAATCTGTTGCTAATTGAACAATTCTGCAACAGATGTTTCACTACAGGACTCCAAAACTCTTTTACCATAATTTTGATGTAAAGCTTCTTTTTCATGCCCTTCTCTCATGACCTGTTGCAAGACAAAATATGTAATCATTTTTCCGACTGCCTCTTAACTAGCAGAAGTCCAAATTAAAAGTCCTTCATCTCTGTTTATCAATTTGGCAGAAACTAATTTTGGATTTATTTTTAATTTGGACTTGTCCTAAAATGCATTGGATGTTAAGGATGTTCGGTCCTCTTTTCAAGATAACAAGCTTTTTAAAAGACTTATAAATTGATAGTATATAAATAATGGAACTTAAAAAGTAGAAAAAAATTACAGGTCCATGTCCTTGTTTTTAAGATACAATCAATTGAAAATTTGGCAGATAATACTTCTCTCTAGATTTTTCATACATTCAACATTGGCACCTTTTTTCTTCAAAAACTATGAAAAAATAACAAGGATTTCATAAGATTTTCAAAAATGGTGTTTTAAACTATATGTAATAAAATTATGAAGGGTCAGCGAACAAAATTTTTATTGGCACTATATGGATAAAACTAGAGGATTCTGAATATCTGACAAATAGTAAAAAAACAAGAGTAGAAAACATCCTAAAAGCAAACATCAATTAATCATTCAAACAATTATGCTTTTTACAAATATATTTGTCAGTTCATTTGTAGTTTCATTGCAAAGTGATACATTTTATTACAATGTTTCTATTTTCAAATGTAACTATGACAATCCTAATTCATTGATATCAGAACTTATCACATTGGTTTCAATGAAATTCTTTGATTTCACAGTTAAAAAAGCGCAGATAATTTGACTCCTATGATGTCAAGACATTGTTGTTGGCATTGCATCAAAACGAATTGGAAATGAGTTAAAAAAGATATAACTCCTTGTATTTTCTACTTTATTTTCATTAAAAAATCCCACAGTCAATGTAATAAAAAGAATAACTAGTCCAAGAATTCAAATATTGAAAAATATTTAACTCGTGACTGAACAACACTGAAAATTAACTCATGGGCTATGCAAATTTGTTAATTTACGTGTTGTTTCCATATTTGAATTATCCGATAATTTATTCTATAAATCTAATTTGTGTCCTAGTGAAGTAGTTTTATGATTCTCCAACTTGATACTAATGTGGTTTGAAATCATGTACTTGAAAGTTGTCTCTAAAAAGTTAAGAGTCGATTCATCTTTTTGTTATTGGTAATCATGTACTTAATGTAAAAAAGAAAAGTTGTTAACATTTTTGAGATTATTTTACAAGTCATAATATCATAGGGCATATTGTGCAATTGTTTTGTTATGTGTCACACCTTTTGTTGTAAGTTTTCTTGTTTCTTTTTATAAAAAGATTTTAAGAATTGATGTTTTTGATATTTGTTATATGCCATGAAGTAATCTCCCTTGACTTTAAAAAAACATATAATTATGGTCAGAATAAAATTAAGAATGGAAATTGGGATTGTGTCAAAGGGACAACAACCCGACTAAAAAGCAGAAAACAGCTGAAGGCCACAAATGGGTCTTCAACACAGCGAGAAAATCCCACACCCGGAGGTGGGCTTCAGCTGGCCCCTAAACAAAAATGTGTACTAGTTCAATGAAAATGGATGTCACACTAAACTCCAAAACATATAAATGAACTAGAATTAAAAAACATACAAGACTTACAAAGGCCAGAAGCTCCTGACTTGGGACAGGCGCAAAAATGCGGCTGGGTTAAACATGTTTTGTGAGATCTCAACCCTCCCCCTATACCTCTAGCCAATGTAGAATAAACAAACAAACAGCAATACGCACAGTAAAACTCAATTTAAAAGAAGTCCGAGTTCAATGTCTGAATAAGAAACAAAATAAAACTAAGCAAAATGACAATGATACATAACTTAATATATATGTTTAGCTTTTAAGATACCACGGTGGCTTTGATGGTCCAGGGGTCTTCGTAGTTTATCTACTGTATCACTAGCCTGCCAACACTGAGGTTGTCAGTTCAAACCCCGCACGTTGCAGGTGTTTTGGACTCCAATCTAAATGGACTATGATTGCCAGTTTTCGTGCTAAAGGTCAGTGGTTCTCTGCGTGCACTTCGACTTCCTCCGCCAATAAAAACTGGACAACAAGAAATGGCTTTAAACACCAAAAAAGCAATCAATCATTTAAGATACCCTTCTTATCTTTTCAAAAGAGAGGCGAAAGATACAAGAGGGACATTCAAACTCATAAGTCGAAAATAAACTGACAATGCCATGGCTTAAAAAGAAAAAGACCAACAGACAAACAAAAGTACAGAAAAGACAACATAGAAAACTAAAGACTAAGCAACACGAACCCCACCAAAAACTGGGGATGATCTCAAAACCATTCTCATAGACTATTGCAAGAATCAGTATATTCTGAGGATGTTTTATTTCGTTTATCCCTTTTGTGATTTAATTTTCCGTTAAAATAAACAGAAAAGAATGTCTGGACTAAAGTTTTGAAAATAACCAGAAAGCTAAGGATTTCGTTTATGTAGAAATAACTATAACTTTAACATTTCTATCCAATTCAAATGTTTATTGCCATATAAACTTTAAACAGTAAGTTTGTGACAAATACAAAAAAGTATACAATATAACTGAAATTCACATATTTATACACAATCATTTAATAACAGTAAATAGTTATAATGACTTTTTGATGTGGGACCCCAATTGATTTCCTTGTGATGGTGTTGATGGATTGAGTATAAAAATCACCTTTTCTTCATCAGACAAATCTTTAACAGAAAAGTTTATTTCCAAATTATCAAAAAAGTTGTTCTCAGTTGCCTTTTAAATTCACAATCTAATAAAAAAAAAGATTTATCATCTTCTAATATGTAACATTTTAAGGCATCATCTCTGCTCTCTAGGATTATTAGAATGTCTTCCTTTTTCTATATTTAAATAATGGTCCCTAATTCTTAGTTTTGTTATTAATTTTCTATATGTAAAGTTTGGTTTTCCTAAATAGTCTTCAAAAAAAAATTTGGTTTGAGGTTTTGGTATAAATAAAGTTTACTTTTTTCATCAATTTTTATTTGACCGCAAATTTATTTGCATTCATTTTATGTTATGGTGTTGTCTGCGTCTGACAACATTTTGGTTCGCAGACAATAACTTGAGTATAAGTACATGGATCTCTATGAAATTTTAGCACAAGGTTCCATACCACTAAAGGATAGTTGGGATTGTTTTTGGGGCTATTGTCCTAGCGGTTTTGTAATTAGAGGCCAAAAAAGGTAAGTTTTACTGGTTCATAGAAAATAAATTGGTTCACAGACAATAACTTTAGTATAAGTGCATGGATGTGTAAGAAATTTTAGCACAAGGTTCCATACCACAATAGGAGGGTTGAGATTGATTTTGGGGGTTGAGCTGTTGTGTAATTAGGGGACAGAAAGGGGCCAAAAACAATTCCTTGTTTGGCTTTTAAAACAAGAACTTGAGTATAAGTGTAAATATCGCTGATAAATTTTAGCACAAGGTTCCAAAGCACAATAGAAAGGTTGGGATTAATTTTAGGGGTTATTGTCATAGCTGTTTAGGAATTAGGGGCCAAAAAAGGCCTAACAAAAACAATTATTTGCCTGGTTCACAGACAGTATCTTGAGTATAAGTGTATGGATCTCTGTGAAATCTAGCACAAGGTTCCATACCACTAAAAGATGGTTGGGATTGTTTTTAGCGGTCTTGTAATTAGAGGCCAAAAAAGGTCAGTTTTACTGGTTCATAGAAAATAAATTGGTTCAGTGACAATAACTTTAGTATAAGTGTATGGATCTGTATGAAACTTTAGCACAGGTTCCATACCACTAGAGGAGGGTTTGGAATTGATTTGGGGGGTTATTGTTGTAGCTGTTTTGTAATTAGGGGCTAGAAAGGGACCAAAAACAATTATTTGTCTAATTTTAAGATAATAACATGACTATAAGTGTATATATCTCTATTAAATTTTAGCACAAGGTTCCACACCACAATAGGAAGGTTGGGATTAATGTTGGGGGTTATTGTCATAGCTGATTAGGAATTAGGGGCCAAGAAGGGCCTAACAAAAACAATAACTTGAGTATAAGTGCATGGATCTCTATTAAATTTTAGAACAAAGTTCTATACCACAAAAGGAAGGTTGGGATTTATTTTGGGGGTTATTGTTGTAGCTGTTTAGTAATAAGGGGCCAAAAACTAGCATTTTCCATATTTCAGGACAATGATTTGTATATAAAGAGCATGGATCTCTATGAAATTTTACCACAAGGTTCCATACTTTATAAGGAAAGTTTTGATTGATTTTTGATTTTGGACACAGTATTCAAGATGGTCCAAATTGGGGTCCAAAATTGAACTTTTGTTTGATTTCATCAAGAATTTTATTGTTGATGTTATTTGATATGGTCAATCCAACAGTAATTTAGATTTTTGATTTTGTGCTTGGATTTCAAAGTTGGTCCAAATTGGGGTCCAAAATTAAACTTTGTTTGATTTCTTCAAAAATTAAATTATTGGTGTTCTTTAATGTGTACAATCTAACAGGGTGTATAAGTTTTTGATTTTGGGCCCGTCTTTCAAACTCAAGGGTCCAATGTATCCAAAATAAATCTTAGTTTGATTTTAACAAAAATTGAATTCTTGTGGTTATTTGATATGCTGAATTTAAGCATATAATTAGATTTTTGTTTTTAGGCACAGTTTTCAAGTTGGTTGAAATTGGGGTCCAAAATTAAACTTTGTTTGATTTTAACAAAAAAATAATATATGGGGTTCTTTGATATGCTGAATTTTAGTGTGTATTTAGATTTTGGATTTTGGGTCCTGTTATCAAATTGGTTCACATTGAGGTCCAAAAGGTCCAATATAAAACTTTGTAGGATTTCTTCTAAAATTGAATTCTTGGGGTTCTTTGATATGCTGATTCCAACCATGTATTTAGAATTTAGAATTTGGATATTGGACCATAATTGGTAAATGTCCAATTTTAAATTATTTAAGAACTTATACCACATTCATTCTGTGTCAGAAATTATGCTATTGTTAAATATTTAATCGGAATCTAAATTAAGAGATGTATTGTGTAATCAACAGAAATTTTAAGTTGAGTCATAGTTGAAATTAGATACAGCATCATATCTAATTTTAGAGAAGAAATTATGTATTGATATAGTATTTATTAATGAGGAATAATATTTTGGAATTGTTTTTTTCTTCATTTCTTTTACAATACTTTTCTAATTACTTTGTATAAATTGCTTATTTCTTGACCAACTTCAATGTGGTTTAATTGGAAGTCATGAATTCATGTGTTTCTTTGATATGCTGTATATAACTGTGTATTTAGATTTAAGATTTTGGGCTCCATATTTTAACTGGTACAAGGGTCCAAAATTCAACTTTGTTTGATTTCATCAAATATTGAATTATTGGTGTTCTTTGATGTGCCGAATCTAAGCATGTATTTATATTTTTTAATTTTGGGGTCTTCTTTCAAATTAGCCCACATTAAGGCCCAAAGGGTCCAATATTATATTTTGTTTGATTTTAGAAAAAATGAATTCTTTGCGTTCTTTGACATACCAAATCTAACTGTGTATTTTAAATTTTTGATTTTGGGACCGGTTTTCAAATTGGTCCACATAGTCCAAAATTAAACTTATTTTGATTTTATGAAAAAGTGAATTCAAGGGGTTCTTTGCTAAACTAAGCATGTATTTAGATTTTTTATTTTGGACCAAGATTTCAGTTGGTGTAAATCAGGATCCAAACAAAAATTGTATATTTGTGGTTCTTTGATATGCTGAATCTAACAATGTATTTAGATTTTGGATTTTGGGCCCCTTAATCAAATTGGTCCACATTGATGTCCAAAGGATCCAAAAGTGAACTTTGTTTGAATTCTTGGGATTCTTTGATATGCTAAATCTAACGTGTATTTAGATTTTGGAAATTGGGCCATGGTAGGTAATAATCCAATTTCAAATTTTTCAGTTTTTCGACCGCAGTCATTCTGTGTCAGAAACCTATGCTATGTCAAATATTTAATCACAATCCAAATCTAGAGCTTAATAAAGCTTGAATGTAGTGTCCATACTTGCCCCAACTGTTCAGGGTTCAACCTCTGCTGTCGTATCAAGCTGCGCCAGTGGAGCATTTTATTTGCATCTTATTATGAATCAAATTTTTAAAGTAGTTTTTAGAGCTTGTTTTTATTTAACCTTTAAATGAATTATTTTACTGGTTTGTGCACCTATGTTCTTACTGTAATTTTACGCAGCTGCTTACAGTACACTTGGTTAATCGTACCTGGTGGTTTTCCAGATGGCAGAAAGAAGAATATAGGGAAGAAGG